TACTTATTGAAAAGGATGTAACAAGACTATATTATGCACCATTGATTATTGTGTGAGCTCAGTTTACAGAAATAAAACTAGTGGATTTTGCCCAAAGAAATATCCAGACCCCTATGTTTCTTTTGAAAAAGAAATCTGTATCAATATGTTGACAACTCCATTTTAACTCCAGAAGGCATGACCAGCTACTGCTGTGACAAACCTCATTTTGTGGGACAGTGCTGTGGCTGGCTTAATTTTCTTTAGACAGCTTCCACTTCAGCAGAGTCCAGTTTGATGTAGGATTTTTCTCACCCTGTCTGAAGATGACTGGCCTAGCATTTGCTAACAATCTTCACGCTATGTCACTTACTACCTAATAAGAGCCTGAAGAGATCTTAATAGACTCTGGCCTCTCTTGTGGCACTATGATTAAAAAATAAATACATCTCCCTTTTGGACAGAAGTATGTAACCTGTTTCTAATGCAATTCATTTCTCCTTACTGCCTTCCTTGAAACTATAGTTTCTTGAGTTAGATGTGGACACACATTCCAAAATACTCCCACAGAATTAAGAGCTCTAGCTCTTTTAAAAAGAATCCTCTTTTGTCACTGAATCACTGCCTTCCTTCTGAATGAATGAAAAGAGCAAGGGACATAATGTGGATAACCATCTGGTGGATCTCTTCTACTTTATATAGGACCTCCTCTAAGATAGGGCATTAGATATGCAGTATTCAGTGATAGTAATTTCACATTGCACTTTCTGTTCATCTACATTTCACTTAAAAACCTATGTTTTGTGCTTTTTCTTAATCATTTTTGGTTTGTTCAGTATTTTTACTCATTTCTCTAAATGGATATGATTCATTCCTATAGTTCTTAGTGTTTATACTTTATGTATTTACCAAGTTGTTTGGTTTGTGTATATTTCCCTTGTGCCTGTATGCAGAAGTCTGTTGTGAGTTATTTGTATATTTGGGTATTTGCATTTTTTTTAAAGAAAACATAATAGACATAATATTAATTATGAAAGTGCACAATCAACTCAGTTAAGTTTCAGAAATTTCACCTTGCTTTTCCTTAATGGTGGAAATCTTGATCAATCTTTCTAAATTCTATTCCACCAAACTAAAATTCTAGCAGTTATTTCTCTGTGGAGAAAGTAATGTACAAAATATTTAAGGGGGGGGGGATGTTTTTCCCTCATTTCTTTTCACTACTGTTATGCGATTCATAATACTACAGCTCTATCCCGATATAACGCAACCCGATATAACACGAATTCAGATATAACGCGGTAAAGCAGCGCTCCGGGGAGGTGGGGCTGCGTGCTCCAGCAGATCAAAGCAAGGTCGATATAACGCGGTTTCACCTATAACGCGGTAAGATTTTTTGGCTCCCAAGGACAGCGTTATATCGGGGTAGAGGTGTATTTTGCAAGGCAGCATAACTTTTATTCCCATTTATTCACTCTTCACCCCCCGCCCCCCATCACTCAGTGGAAATTCTACCTCTATATTGCTGTCAATGTAGGCTGTAGTCTGTCCACAATTGTAAAATATTTGCCCTATAGCATGCGATCGTGTAACAAAACCCTATTTGATTTTAGCTGAATTTTGTAGACTAGCTTGGCCTGTTGTTTGTACATAACTGTCAAACTGTATAAGAATTTTTTATTAAAAGTGTGTGGGTTTAAAATAGTGGAGACTTCAACTAGAAGATGCACCAAATAAACTTTATTCCTTGTTTTAATTATTCGGGGGTGAGTTACTTCTCTTAACAAAGCAGTCTGTGCCAGCTGGAGTTAATATTATCCACCATACTTCTATGTTAAAGTGCAGAGTAATTGGTATCCAGATAATTAGGCTTGGGGCATCAGTCATGGGATAACATAGCAATGGCTGAAGATCTGAGTCTTTTGAGGCCTGACCATTCCCATCAGTGTGTTTATGTATCAGCGTCTGCCTAATGACACCTGGAGCAAAAACTTTATTTTCACACCTTACCTCAAAGCAAATGCACAAGGGAACAACAACTCAATTTCTGTTTTTGCGGACTATGATCTCTACCTTTTTTGTGCTTTGTTTGCTTAATTCTCATATTAAATTCTCCTCTTAAACTGGAGGAAGATAAATTAGGGGTTGAGTTGTTTTATTATTAAAACTTGTGTGATGAGCCAGCCCTTTGTCAAAATCAGTCTCTAGCCTTCAGGATTTGTTTCTCTCACAAGGCTAAAAGAACACTTGCTGGACTGAAGGCCTTGAAAGATGAACAACATTCCTCTTCGTCTTCGCACTTCTTCAGAACTTGTAAACAAAAACGTACCATCTGTAAAATGCAAGTTAATCCTGGAGACAACTAAGTTAAGTGTTGGCAGGTGTTGCACCTCAGGATTTTGGAAATGAAGTCAGTTTATCTAAATTTGAGTCCCTATCAAAATGAAAGTTTAAACCAGGATTGTGGGTTGTATTAGAGCTCTGCTTAACTCATTGGGAACAACCAATGACAAGATATCTTGCTTTGCTGTTATTTTTCAGTCTTCCAGCCCCAGCAGTGAGACTTAAATTCTCTTTTGTTACTGACATTCTTCCTTACTGACCACAGCTTCTGCTTATACTTTTTGCTCAAGACAGACTCTGCTGACTCATTCAGTGTGCATTCACTTAGTTTGATTTTATTTTGCGTGTTCTAATTATTCATGAGGGTCCAAATGAGTATAGGAAAAGTTAGATCTGTTATGGATGGACAAGGGTACTGAGCAGATTGCTCAAGTGGAATGTATCAGAGGGGTAGCCGTGTTAGTCTGGATCTGTAAAAAGCAACAGAGAGCCCTGTGGCACCGGAATGTAATACTTTAAAATTCTGTAACATGTTGATCAATGTGCTGTATTGCAACCTTCCATCCACAAAAGTGTTGATCATTCTGATTTGCAAAGAAACATGTTAGTCTATATAAATAGTGAAAAATGTGGCCTCACTAATTTATGTGAAAATTGTTTATTTTCATAGAACTGAAGAACCAGGGTTAGGCCTTGTCTATACGGGCACTTTACAGCGCTGAAACTTTTTTGCTCATGGGGTGTGAAACACCCCCCTGAGCGATGCAAGTTTCAGCACTGTGAAGTGCCGTGTAGACAGTGCACTAGCACTGGGAGCCATGCTCCAAGTGCTGGGAGCCACTCCCCTTGTAGGGGTGGTGTCTTTTTTTTTTTTTTTTTTTTTTTTTAGAGTGCTGGGAGTTCTCTCCCAGCACTGGTGCCGCGACTACACAGCTAGGTTAAAGCGCTGCTGTAGCACAGACTCTTCTGCCTGGTCTCCTCCAACTGGTTCCTGTCCCACTCCTGCCTCTTCCCTGCCCTTTGCTCCTTCTCCCAGTGTCCTCATCTCTACAGTCCCAGTCAGGGGTGGTTCTAGGGCCAAGCGAGCAGGGTGGTCGCCCTGGGTACCAACTTCCAGAGGCCACTGAAATGGTGTGATGCTGGGTTGTTTTCTATATTCATATTTTTGCTTCACTCTGTTTGTCTTTGCTCCACTTGGATTGGCCAGCCACTTTTTTTGGCTTACTTGCTTGGCAGGGGATGCCAAAAAGGTTACTGCTCTGGCCAGCAAAATGGCGTGGGCTGCTCTTGGTCCCAGTTGCCATGATTTTCATCCATTCCTCTTGCCCAGCTAGTCTGTCTTCCCCTTCCTTCGCCAAAACTCCCAGTCCTGGTTTCCTCTGGCCTAGGTTCCTGGTCCCAATTTAATTCTCTTGCCTTTCCTCTCTCTGCATTGGAATCAGGCAGCTTCCTCTTCACTGTCTGGGCGTCAACCATGTGGAGCGTTGAGAGCACAGGAGAGACAGGCTCACTACTCTCAGTTTAGGTCCCTGTTTCTGACATGGCCTGCAGCAGCCCAGAGCTGCAGGGAAAGACCTGCTCATAGAATCTCAGGGTTGGAAGGGACCTCAGGAGGTCATCTAGTCCAACCCGCTGCTCAAAGCAGGACAAATCCCCAGACAGACTTTTACCCCAGTTTCCTAAATGTCCCCCTCAAGGATTGAACTCACAACCCTGGGTTTAGCAGGCCAATGCTCAAACCACTGAGCTATCCCTCCCCCCCTCATGTTGCCCACTGAGGATGGAATATTGGAGATTTTAGCTGTGGTCTGGCTAGTCTCGTCTGACCATTTGCAAGCTGTGATTCCTAACCCTTTCTCTCTCCTTCCGCCCCCCCTTCCCCCCCCCCCATGAAAGCATGTAACATCTCCAAATTTGGGTAGATTTTCACAGAGATGGCAAAAGGCAAATCCTCAACTCACGGGCCACTCACTGCCAAATTTGAAGTTCCTGCTTTGAAGCATTAGGGCACTAGTACCTCTCAAATTAAAGCTCCAGAATTTAAACTTGGCAAAACATGTTTTTCCCTACTTTTTTTTTTTTCTTGGAAACATCTGAACTGTCTTCAGGGGGGGAAAACAAAGAAAAAACATCCCAGCCTGAGGCAGGCACTTAAGATTGTAAATTTCAAACAGTTAAAATTTGGCAAACTTATCAGCAACTAAAAGTGGGATTTTATTATGGGAAATGTCAGGCAACCTCAACAAGCAGTGACACCCCCCGCCCCCTCATTGTAAATGAGCAGGCCGTTTTCTGCATAATACTCAATTGCAGTAATTGGAATTTGGGTATTTAAATTATTTTAGGGGAGAAAGTAGAAATGTCTGTCTGCCACAGTTGTGAGTTGTCTCTGGCATGTTTTTTCCCTAGTAAACCGTATTGTCTTTAGAATTATGACTAGATTGTAGTTAGCAGTCTAATAGTGTATATAAAATACTTTTAAAAATCTTTGTACTCTGAATATGTCTAATGATGAATACGCAATACATTATTATTAATAATTTGTCAATTCAGAGAAGCACTGAGACTCTTGAGTCTTTATACCAAATGGCCAAGAAATGGAGGGTTTTTACATATTAGTCAGTAATGTGGAGGAACTTGTTTTTGGTGAAATGTTTTTGTTTTTTCCTTTCTTTTAGGTACATACATTCTCACAACTGCTCTACTGCCTTTGTTGGAAAAAGAAGATGATCCCAGAGTTGTGAGTTTATAATGCTCCTTTTTTAAGCTGTTGTTTTTACTACACTTTTTGTTTTATGGCAGTCTCTTTCCTCTGATTGTGTACATGTTTGCAGCCCCGGTACTAGTTACCCCTCTGTCACGTGCCTCGCACACTCTTAGACTCTAATAAATAGTAGTCGTCCATTCAAAATCTGAATTCTATCTTGCTATTTTGTACAGGAGCTACAGTGGCCGGTGAAATAGATAAAATACCTTATTCAGAGATTGCTTCCCTACACCATATCTCCTGCAGCACAGTAAAACACCTATAACAGGACTGTAGGATTAAAGTTGCTTTCTAGACTTTGGTGCAAAAGGGGACATTTTATTATGAAGCATTCAATATTTATACAAAATAATTGAAAAATGTTCTAATGAGCTGCCACCTATATTTTAAGGTTTGCTGTCTTGTAACCTGCCAGGATTAGAAATGCACATCAGGCCTTTTAATGTGCCTGTATCTAAATAAGAAAAATGGATTGGCTTTTCCCAGTGCTGGTCCTGGATCAGTGAATTAAAACGTCTATCCCTCTTCTGTCCCTTTATTAGCGATTGCGATAAAAGCATGAGCAGGTCCCTAGTGGGGCAAAGAGCATTTTGAATGAGGATCTGCTCCATTTTTGACCTTTCCTTTGTCAGCTCTCCAGGTACGCTTTGTGGTACAGGTGTGATGGTCCTCTTCTACAGGCACAGTGTAAAGAGAGTAGAACAGAAAAATCTTGTATGCAGTGTAACTTCATTAGTGGGCCTTAAGACAATCTTAATGAACGTGGGGGATTGGCTTTTTACATTCACTTAATTTATTACAGATAATTGTCTCTTCAGGAGGGATGTTGGTGCAGAAATTAGATGTATCTGATTTGCAGTCTGAAAACATAACATTTGATGGTACTATGGTCTATGCCCAAAACAAGGTAGGTATGTGGATTTGAAAGTAAACCCTATAACTTGGATCAGACTGACAGTGTGATACAGCTTCCTTTAAAATAGGCTGCAAATCGGATGGCTATTGACATGGGATTGCTCTTTTCACTGCATCTAAACTAGATATAGTGCAGCATGCAACATTCCTTATCAGTACAGTTCATTTCCTGCTGAAACTGAAATTAATGTTGCATATTACAGTAAAGATTACAGAGAAGCTTGAGGAGTGGGTGATTCTTGCACTTTGTGAGAGCAATATGAGTGTTTAGTTTCACCCAACCCCAAACATTTTACAGAAGGGGTTGAGCAGAAAATTAGCCTGGATTAGTGTCTTTTTCTCATTCCATTTCTACTCCTATATTTAGCCTGCAGAAAATGGAGTTGGTGAATGAAAGCTTCCTGAACTTACATTAGCAAAAAGCTTTAATAACAAACAAACAGGGGTTAATACCTATTGTTGCGTACGTAGGTTGCCTTTACCACTCTGCAGTGGTTTCTGACAACATTATCTTGAAGAGCTCTATGTAGCTCAAAAGCTTGTCTCTTTCACCAACAAAATTTGGTCTGATAAAAGGTATGACCTCGCCCATCTTGTCTCTCTAACATTATCTAATGGATTGCTGCTTTTCCCAGTATATGAGTGGTACAGGTATTTTCTATATTGTCTGCAACCTGGTAATTACAGTGCACTATGGGTGTATTGGAAGCATTTGGGATTGGCTACTGGGAGACAGGATAACAGATTAAATGGATCATTGTTCTTTTCCAGTATGGCATCTTTTTGTTGTATCCTAGAGACAGCAAGTAGTCTTGACAGAACAATGGGCTAAAGTGCACAAAAACATCCATTTCTCTGCCATGCATCCTGGCTGGGCAGATACACCAGGTACAGTCTGCTAAAGGCACTTACGCCTTCCAGTCTTAGTCTAAAATTGAATCATAATATGACATTACTGTAAATTTGTATAACAGGTCCACCGATCTCTTCAGTTTAAATTCCTGGAAAGTGGCTGTTTTAGAACCCTCTGCTGTCCTGTTTTACAGGGAGTCTGAGATCAGATGGAGCTGGGGATGCAGGTCTGCACTCTAGTCTGACCTGCTCCTGCAATTCCCCCCACCCGACACTCTTGCTTCAGTATCTGGGCCCCCCAGTGATGTCACTCTCCCTTTCTGCTTTGAGCTTGGAAACCAGCAGTTCCAACTGTGCACTTCAGTATCTTGTATTACTCACCCACACCACCCCTGTAGTTCAACTTCCCAGTGGACTTCAGCTTATTCTGCCTTGTTAAGGAGATGGATACATGGTGAAGGATTTCCACCCTAGATCAAAGGACACTGTCTAGTCACCTTCCTTTACTTTTACACTCTGTAGAATGCAATTTCTTAATAGGCTTCAAAATATCCCTTTACAAATCTAGGGGCTGGCCTGCCACATAGGGAGCTCTCCCAACACCCACTGATCATGTGACTCTCCACACCCTCCTGCAGTTTCCTGCCGATTGAAAATATAGGCTTCATCTTTCCTTGCCCAACGTTTTACTTCACACTTAAGCAGTTTAAATGCAGTGTTTGTAGCTTAGGGAATACTATTTTCCATGTCTGCTTTTTTTGCCATGTGCTTATAAAATAACTCAAAAGACTACATTGATTAAAGTCTATCTCATTATTTCTAGCAGTCATAGTCATAAAATCAATGAAAATAAGAACTAAATCCCCAGATATTTCCACCATTTGTTTTCTCATGTTCTGCATCCAGTCAACTTTGAACAGGATCAAACAACAGAACTGGGGGGCACCTCTTTTTGATTCTCATTCTCTCAGCCTTTTGACTGTCTCCGTACCCTTTAGTCCAAACAATGAGAAATGTCTGGTTCATCTTTTGGCAACCTAACATCCCACCACGATAGTAACTCTGCCATCCATGGGACAATAGTGTCTCCTTTCCCTGATTTTAAAAGGTCACTGCTTTTCACACTATTACCATTTTAACGTTTAAAAAACTCTTTAGCAAAAAGCCTTGATTGACTCAACACCCTTTCGTTATTCTTCACTGTAGCGGTGAGATCAGCGATGCCAGAATTCTATGAAAAGATGAAGAACAAACTGCGCACAGAGGCTCAGGGAGCCGATACAGTAGTGTGGCTGGCAGTCTCACCTGCAGCAGCTAAGCAAACAAGTGGCCTGTTCTTCCAAGGTAAGGTGGCAGTTTCATAGACTGAACCTGAAGGAGGAGTGCTATTACTGCACTGATTGTACAATGACTTTACCAAAGGGCCAGAGCGGTTATATGTTGAGGGTTAAAATAGTTCCTGCAATTGTTTATAATGTGTGACTCCAAAGGCCAAGCACAGCGTTGCATAACTAACAGAACTAGTCAAACTGACAGTATTTTGCTGGTCCTGCCCTTTCGACCAGCTGGCATTAATTGGATAAAACATCTGGGTTGAAGTTGGCTCTGCACATGACTAGGCAGAGACGTGGCAAAGTGAGCCCGCAGCGATGTCCGATGGACTCTTGCCTTCTGTACAGAGTACAGAGGAGTTGCATTCATTTTGAGGGCACTTGTCTCCCCTCTTTCTCCTGTTCCCATTAACAGTGCCCAGGTGCCAGTGCATACTCGTTCTTTCTGCAGCTCTGTGGTGAGGACTTGCAGTCAGGATTGTTAGTGTGAACAATGCAGACTCTGAGATGAAATCTAAGTGCAGCTGGGTTGGTGAACGGGGGGTCAGGGAGAGAGGAAGGTGGGAAAGGGCTTTGAACGTTCCCATTCTGCCACTCTCACAGTAAGTGCTCAAGTGGGAGTGATTTTGTGACACCTCTGCTCTCAGGGCAGTGGAGATCTATGATGTGGGAGACAGGCCAGAGGTGGGGGCCCCTTTTCATAGAAAGCCCCCTTCCCCCCCCCACCCCTTTCTGGGTGTGACGAAGGCCTGCTTTCAACCTGTTCGCTCAGTCTGGGGCATCTGGGAAGTTTGGATCCCTCCTCTCCACAGGTACCAGACCCACCCTTAGTCCAGCTTTTAATTAAAAAGTAGAAGAGATTTTTACTGTCCCCCACCCCCCAAGAGCAGTAAACTACAGGCTTGAATCAGCTGCCCATAAACCTGACTGGAATTTCTTTTCAGATGGAATCATTTGTCTGTGGTGCATGCACAAAATGGAACACACACGTGTTCTGCCTCATTGTAGAGCAGGGGTAGTGCCTCTTCTTCATCCTTAATCTCTCTTCCTCCCTCTTATTTCTACTGTCTGCTCCAACCACGCTTCCTGCTACCTCGTTGTCATCACCTCGGCCTGGCCCAGCTTGCCCTACAGCCTCAGCAAACAGGCAGGAGGACTGTAATCCTCAAGGTTGACCAGAGCTGTGTTTTCCTGTGAGCATTGCACTTGGCAAGGCCGCAGCTTTGGAGAGGGGCGTGAAGATTCTTGGGTTGGCCCCCAGTAACACTGTGTTCCCCATTTTGTCCGTTGGGGAACCCTGGGACTCAGTGGCTCAGTTCTTTTTGACAACTCTGGGAAAATCACTTGTTTTTAAAATGCTTTCTGTGCCATCATCCCTTGGGGTCAGGCACAGCCCCCCTGCTTCCCCTCTTGACTCTGAATAGTGCATTGTCATCCCTTGCTGTCTTAGTTCCCTGAGAGCTATTTGCCAACTCACAATAAAATACCCCCAAACTGGATGAATATGCAGCTGTTCTGCTTCCATTCCCCTCCTGCTTCTCTTTCACCTTCCTTATTCTGTTCAGTTTCGATACTTAGTGCAAACCCCAGTCAGCTTTTTTGCTGAGGAAGGGAAGGGGGCTGGGAGTAGGCTGTCCTATGCTCAAATAATTCCTTCCCCTCTGCTGAGACTTCACAGGACAGTGCACAGGCAGGCAGGAAGCCGTTTCCTCCATAGCTTTGGCCTGGTAGAGTACAGCAGTTCCCAGGTATCCATGTAGGCTAATTCTCGCAAACATTTTTCTTCCCCCCGCAGTAGTATTGATTGCTGCACCATAAGGAAGAGTGAGTGCGCCTCTTATTGTTTGGCTTCCTGTGCACAGCCTAGGGTGAACAGGTGTAATGCTGTATGTACACTGAGTTGTTATGCTAACTTCACAAGACACTGACAATTCACCTTTCTGGAAATTCTCCTCTGAGGATATGAGGCAGGCCCCTGTGCTTCCATGGAAATCTTCCACTAGAGCTCAGAACACTGTTTGAAACTGAACTCTTGTGCAAGGATGGATGACAATCCTGTAGCTCTCCACAGCTTCCTGCTTACTGCATGGCTGCTATAGCTATGGTGAAGATAAACTAGCTTTCTGCAGCTCAACTGGCCACTTCACTAAACATATTCTAGCAATACTGCTGAAGGAGAAATACTCCTCCAATGCACAGTAGTGATCTGAAGTTGCTTTTTAAAAAGATAAAGTCATTACTAAGTTCTGTGACCACAGTCATTGTGTTAAGGCAAAGACAGAGCTTCTCTGTGGGTGGTATGTAATTAGTTAATCAGGAATGGAAATTTAGTACTATCCCTTGTGTTATGGTGCTCTATTGGTGGAGCTGTGTGGTAGACTGAACCAGGAGGCTCAGGTTCATGTAACCAGACAAGGAATGTCTTATTGTGCAAGTTTGGCTAAGCATTTTGACTGAGAACCAGTTTATTCTCTTGATAAAAGGCTGAGTGCTTAACAAGCTAATTCCATAGTGCTAATGCTAAGCTCTGTATTTTAAGGATAAAATTAGCCCAATTCCATCCCATGGAATAGCTGCACCAGTGCAAACCCACATCCTGAAAACAAGGAAAGCTACAGTTTGTTTTGCTGCTTGAAACTGGGTAAACTCCAGCAAAGCAAATCACTGCACTGGTACAGCTACACTAATGACTAAAATGAGGGCTAATTCCTATGTGGACAGGGCCTTCCTTTTTCTAATGTCTGGCTACAAAAAGAGTCTACATCTTCTCTATAAAATCAGTCTCACAAGGACAGGCCTTTTGGGTACCTAATTCAAAATGAAATTAGTGTAAGTGCATTCTGTTTTGGTAAATGAAGTAATATTTTTTTTAAAGTACAGTATTTAAATGTTGCAGAAATCCACAAGGCCAGATTAACCTTTTGGCCTCAAGATCATTTTGTGCATAGGTAAAATGCATTGGTGGTTCTGGTCTGAGACCCACTTTGTGCTGGGAGAGGTGAAAGATTTACTACTTTTTTTTTTTTTTTTCCTCTCTCCCCCTCCAGACCGGCAACCTGTTTCTACCCACTTGCTCCTGGCCAGAACATATTCTTCACCAGAGGAGGAAGAGAAGCTAATAGAAACTTTGGAAGAGCTTTCCCAGAAATTTAAACCCACTTGATGATGTCGTCTGTAGACATTTATCACCACCCAATTGAACAGAAATGAAGCTTTGAATTAGAATACTAGCAGAACTGTATTACACCTGTTACAAATATGAGGGGAAGAGAACAAGTTTGCTACAACTAATATACTTAAGCAGAATCACAGTTCACCTTTTATAACAAGTTGTAATGTATACTGTTACTGCAGGCTTTTATAAGATAGCATAAGCTATTGAGCAGTTGAATATGAATTCAGATTTTGCTCCCCTGAAGTCCTACCTCTGTCATGTCATACATGGGAGTACATGCACCTTGCTTCAAGTATGTAAAGGAAACAGCAGAGAGAGGTATTTCAGCATTGGGTTGCTCATATGTGCCTTTAACAAACAGGTTCTAGCCTAGTACCATTACTAATTAGTGACTGCCCCATAAACCTGTGTGGCTACAATCAGTTAGTTAGTGCTTGGTTAGACTTTACCTCTACTATTTAGGTTTTGCTAGTGTCAGTATTCTCCCCTTGCACTCACAACTCAACCACTGCTTTATACCAGTAGAGGACTGTGCTGTAGGTGGAAAAATAAAGTGCTTTTTCCAAGACCAGAAGTGCTAGACTGCTGTTTGGAAAGGCTATTATAGTCCTTTTCAGTCTGATTTTCTAACTGATCTTTTATTTATAGCAAACTACTTTTCTTTGGAGGCTAAACCAGTACCTTTCCTTCTATCTATATATGCTGTATTTTAGAGCTAAGAACCATGGGGGCAGGGGGTAGTCTGCTTATGGGGCTGTAGACAACACTCAGTTTGGAGTGTCTTTCCTTTCATAAGGCCTGTTCCTACAAAGGTCTATATCAGTTTAACTGTACATGAATTGTGTAACACTTGCTGGTTAACAGTCAGGTTTAAGGCCTTGAGATTTTCTGTAAACTAATTACTGAAAACAGGAGGAAGTAGACCACTATTTTCTGTGTGGGCAGCTCTGCCCCTGTTGCCAAATTCCTGCTGCTTGACTCAGTGAACAGGGAGGAAATACTATTCCATTCCAGCCTCAAGGGGTTGGAGCTTTGATTTAAGGAAGCACAGAGCCACATACCAAAGTGAAAACCTAATCTGGATGCGAGCTTGCCTTCAGCAATGGTAATGACAATGCTTGAAAATAGCTGTACCTTTACAGGCAAGAGAATGAAAGGAGAAACTAGTACATGCTTGTTACATGGGTGGCACCTAAAGGCTTTACTACAGCTTTAACACAAGGGTGCACACAGCATAGCTTCTATAGGCTGCGCTTACTGCATGTAACAGGACTAGTTGCATTCCACCCTCCATTTCAGGGACTCACTGAAATCCCCCTCGCAAGGGTTCTATATGTCTCCCATACCAGCATCTCAGTACATCCTCTAGTGATCATGTTACATTCAGACAGAAGTGCTGGCTAGTTGAGTGCAAGGCCATGCAAACTCAGCTAATTATGGGAGGTAACTAAAAGGTTACAAGGGGTTAAATTCATTTTAGCTGTGTACATTCAGAATTGATAGAATATGCTGAATAAGACAATCCAAGTGCAACCAGGGGGAACTAATGAACTTCGTCTAATTCTAAAGTACTGGCCTGCTTAAGGCAACAGGGACACAGCCACACTGCAAAAGCAGTAAATTTTTGAACAGCAGTAGTTTGATTGGTGTTGCCTAGAGGCAGTCTTTGGCAGTAAACTTTTTATAACAAGCCTTTGAAAATTACAAAAGAAATATTCTAACATACCTTATTAAGACTGTTAAACTAGAACCTGTCTATAAAAACTAATTAGTTCTCAGGTAGCAGCAAGAATACTACCTTTAAGGCTTGTCAACACGGCATGGCAAAGTCCTCGGGGGGAGGGGGTCCATGAGTTAGAGGAGGTAGTTATAGAGCACTGTAACTGCTCAATGTAGACACTGCTGGCATGTTCTAAAAGGTACTTAGTTTGCATTAGAGTCCTCTGTCAATAAGACCCCCTCTAGAACACTTTGCTGCCATGCAGACAAGCTCATAGTTTACTAGAGATATCAAAGTGAGTGAGCTGTCTTTCTGGGCTATAAAGATTGATCGCTTGAGGCTATGCTACTGCCCAAAGGAGAAATAATTATGTCTAGATTTTAAATGTTACAAGGAGGCTTTCACAAAAGATGTCCCAGCTTGGTGAAGTGCACATAGTTTAAAAAAGGAGTATGCTGTAAGGTCCTTTACATTTGTGTTCAAAAGCATCCAATTTAGGACTGAACACTGACTGATTTAAAGAAACTTGTGTTTCCAGTCTGCTCCCTATATATGTAGAAATACAGTCAAATGAAAACATAGTAGTATAACAAGCTTCTAGCAAGGTACAGAGTAGTAGATGTTAGAATATAGATATTCAGGCCTGCCGGTAAAGGTCTATATACTTTAAGAACTTAGGTGTATTTTTAATCACTTAGCTAGTTATAGAGGTATGAAACTAATCAAAAATCACAAGTCCACCTGTGTACGGGCCTTCTCCCCCTAGGATAGCCTGAGGCCTTGTTCTTAGGCTAAGGCCTTTGGCTAAGCAGCAGGGGCAGCCATAAGCTGGGAAGTGTACGGTCACATCCTCACATCCCAAACCAGTCACACTGAAATAAGGTGCTATTGGGCTGTTAGGAAGACAATCCTGTCCTGATAGTGCCCATCACCACCAGATAAAGAAACCGATCTTAAGATGGTTAAAGAAAACTTAAGTTTGATTGATTTCTTGCCAGACAGGATGCTCTTATCAATGGTTGTGAAACCCTCATTTCTGTATTTTTATCTTTATGGCCCCAACTTTTCTATTGTTAATCTGTCTGCTGTATAATTAATTTTGCTAGATGTTAGTTAATTAGGGTAGTGGGATAGAATTGGTTAGAGAATTATGTTACAATATGTTAGGATTGGTTAGTTAAATTTCAGTAAAATGACTGGTTAAGGTACAGCTGAGAATATTACTATATAAGCTGGGGTCAAACAGGAAGCGGAAGAGAAATTGGAATCATGCTTGCTAATGGGGGGAAGGAACTGGAATAGGGACACAGGGTAAACGCTCTGTGGCATCAAAGCTGGGAAGGGGGATGGGTAAATGCTCTGTGGAGTCAGAGCTGGGAACGGAACACGGGGGGGGGGGGGAGAGGGAGAGAACAGGCTCTAGCGGCGTATTAAAGATAAGCCCGACTGGTATGAAGGGCTTCGGAATAGGCTTGCTTGGAAACTAACCCCAATAAACATCGCATTGTCTGCGCTTTGGACTTCTGGTCTTTTACTGCTTGCTGTCTGTGTGACAAGAACCAGGGAAGTGGGAGGGTTGAGGGAAAGCCCTCTAACAGTATATAACTTTAAGGTTATTGTAGTGTTGAAGAGGAGACTGGTAAAGAATCTAAAAAGCAGTAAGTAGTATGAGAGAGAGAGAGAGTTTTGGGAATTGGATTCTTTCTCACATACAAATTACAGTGAAAAAGTACAACAGGAAGATTTACACAGACATTTATTTCCCAAAGGTTTAGGTTTTACATTAACAATTTATTAGACTGTTTGAACAGTTAAAGTTACTGAAAAGATGGCAAATTGTGGAGGGAAAATTCTAGACAAAGGGAAACAATCACATTCAGCAGCATTTTAATAGTACATTAATTGCAGAATTTAAATAAGTTTCTCATTACTGAATAATCTTATTAGTAAGCCAAATTCCTGTGCAACTGGAATTTCCTACTACCAGTGTAAAAATATACCAAACCCTCACCTTTCTGTAATATTCTGACAAATGTTCTCAGGGAACTAAATATATTTTAGTCAATTTGCAGTGACTGAACACTACCCTTCACACCTGCCAGCTTTGTTGTGGTTGAAGAGAAAGTTTCAAAATAGATTCCAAAATCCATAGTTAACCACTAACGACAGAGGGCATTCTACTATTAAACAGTGGAGAGAAAGTTACCCGTACCAGATAATTTAATAAATTGAAGCATATTGTTTGGACAAGCGTTTTAACAGAAAGCATACGCAGTAGCTACATTTCCTAATCTAGCAGGCTGCAGTGCTTAACAACTTAATGTTCGTGTACTTTTCAGAGTGTTTTAGCTAAATTCAGTTTGCACCCCTGTAGAAGTCAGTATAATGTAAGCTACCTAAAACAGCGCATAAAACTAAAAAAGTGCACTTACATCTTTTGGTCCATATTCCATACTTAAATATCCCTTTATTTTCTTTCCATTCATAGGCTATAGGTGGAAAGGATCAAAATCATGTAAGCGTAGAACTTAGTCACAGTGTAGGAAAATGCCAGCTGTCATATTTTGTAGTTGAAGTGCATTTGTGATCAACAATTAAATCTAGGGCTAGGTCAGCAATTCAAAACCAAATATGTAGTAGTTCATAACACTGGCATTATATTTCATTTAGTTCAACATTTAAAACACAGTTCTTCTCCCCTTTAAAAACATTCCTTTTTCCTCACCACAAGTTTGATGGAGGTATGTAATCATGATGCAAGTGAGATGCTTTATTTTAAAATATAATGCACATTAGGTTATACCTGTCATGTAAGCAAATACATTCATTGTCATCTTAAATTCTAGTGGCAAGAGACACTAGTGACAGAATATCCAATGTAGACAGAGGACCAGCACTGGTTAAGCAATGCACTTTCAATACTTTAAAACAAAAAAAACTAAACAGCCAGACGCAGGAAGGCAACAAACAGTTAGTGAACTGGTGAAGTTATTTTTCCAGGATATGTAACTTTCAGCCTGAGTCTGTAATGCCAACACAGCTGTTCTCCCTCACCTCACCTCCTTTCCTACAATCAGTCTAGAGCTTTGATGCTAGCTTCCAAGAAACACCGCAAACTTACCTTTAATTGTCTTATTAAAAAAAAAATCCCATCAAGTCCTTATATTTTTCCTTACTCTTAAGAGCTCCCGGTCAATAGTTAAGGGGCTGTGTGCTCCTGTTTATGTAAATAACTTTTGCACAGGCCAGAGAGCAACACCATTAACCATGCTTAGACTTACTCCCCTGCACCTTCTCAAGACACACGTTCCTGTTTAGATGATAACCACCCCTTGCAGGCTCTGAAGATGGGCGCGCACCATCAATGCTACAGCAGAACTGATTATACAGTGTTTTGAGCTCTACCAGGGAAGCAAACTTGAACACTTTAATCTTTGATAGGAATGCTAATGTAATAATAGTCAGGTGATTTTTCAAGTTCACAGCGTCCCTGTCCTGAATTCTGCGTCTGCCACAAACTTGTTCCATGTAAAAATGTTAGTCTTACTAAAAAACCTGTAAACAACAATTGTAAACAAAGTAGGCTGCCTTCTAGTACCAGGGCTCTGCTGATAACAATGGTACCATATCACATTTGGTGCTGTTATTCTCAAAAGCAGGTGCAGGGCACATCCAGTAACTTTGTAGTGACCACACATTTTTGTAGAATGTACCACTGAACTGGAAATGATTTTACAGTGCAGATCCTTCATTACAATTTCTTGAAGGAAACTCAAAGTACCATCTACAGTTATTTGCCTGCTTCTGAAATGCCAGT